GACATTAACAGGGGCAGAAACCCTATTGAACTTTATTTTATAATGCGACGAAAAGACCAACACTGTTGGGTTGGAGCTAGACGACGTTATATCGAGCGAAAATTACACGAAAGGTTTAGCGACCTATGCGGGTTGGCGACGAAGAATAGCGGAGACAAAGTAACAATGAGCTTTGTGAGCTTTACGGTGACATTCCAATAGATTATTCGCTGTACACATCAAGCTGTTAAAATGGACTCAAACGCCTCATTTCTGATTTGAAGTATTTGTTACCGTTTCAGCTGGTGTGCATTTTTTAAGTCCTCCGTGATCCCGTATGCAGTTATAGCGTAATTTAATCGCTCTATAGGGTTTGTGCCACTACCTCACTGCCTAATATTTTACATAAATACAACTCCGCAATATAGGAAATTGTACAACGACTATACCGGCAGATTAGCTAAAGAAGGCCACATGGCCAAAGATTGGAGTCTCAGAATAAAGACCCAAACCATAAAGAATGCTCTTTACGACAGACGTCACAGCATAAGCCTACTTAACATTGCATATAAGGTCATAACGACAACACTGTCTGTAAGATTAAAGCCCTTCATGGGCGTGCTACAATTTACAGCGCGTTAAGTCCTGAAAAAGACCCTGTATAAGTAAGCCGACACACACCAACTTATCGTCTTATTTAGCGACGAAGAGAATCTCCCTTTATGTCATCAAGTTTATGCCGATTTCGTTTCTACCAAAAAAATTCAACCTTCTCTTTGCCCTCAACGCACAAACACTAAGAAGGGGGCGATAAGAAGGCAACATTTTTTCTAGAAACAAAATCGCCATTAAATTCTCCAACGCCGCAAAACCTAAATGGATCCTCACTCGCTTCGCTGAGTGTACGAAATTTCTGAATGCTTCCTTCAAAATATTTTCAAACTAAAACTAATTCTTAAACCTCTCTCTTTTTAAGCATTTTCAATTAATTTATTCCCTGAATTCTTGCCCAATTTGAGTTTTTAAAGAGGTGGCAATCCTCCTACTTGTAGTATATAAATGAAGCGTTTTCAAAACCGTTTCGATTGATACCCTTATTGTAGTAATTTATTTAAATCAATTCCCTGCTGAAGTCTAGAAAAAGAAGTCTGATGAGGAGATGTGGATATCTCCGAAATAGTGCTATAACTTTTACCGCTTAGACTTTGTTGCTTTTTCAATTTTTCCTAATAAACAATCGTGGTACAAAGCTCAATAAAAATATTAAAAATAAATAGTTAACAAGCCACAATAACATTGACCAATTCAATTTAGTTTTGAAACAGGAGGCAGCCCTTGCAAAACACCTCAATAATATTCTAAACGTGCACACTAAACCTTTCTTAACAATCTTTCGTTTGACACCCATATTTTGTTATACAAATTTCAAATAAATAACTCCCTTAATTCAAGTTGATTTTGATTTTTTTTTTTTAACAGGTGGTAGCCCTTCTCCATGAGTATGCAAGTGATTTTATATATCTCCATACCAAGTTCCAGTACTCTACAACAAAAACTTCCTGAGATATGCACGATTCAAAATTCCGCTTGTGTGAGAGGTGCCATGCCCCCTTTTCTAATGGAGATAAAACCTATCCCCTGATTCACATTTACAACATTAGTAAGGATATTCAAAAGTAAAAAAAAAACAAAATCCTCTTGACTTTTGGTTTTCATCAACTTTCCCAGAGCTGGTTAAAGTACTATTTTTTAACTCAGTTACCAGCACTGCTAAATCCCTCCTGATTTCCATGCTTCAACCTGCCGCTATACTTTTATAACCGACTTCACGAAAAGGAGAAGGTTATCAGTTCGTCGGAATATTTTTTTTTTTTTTGTTATGCATAACTTTGGACCAAGTTAACCGATTCCTATAATTCTTTTTTTTTAAGGAAAGGTGTTACCTCACAGCTGGTCATTGGATCATGAAGAGATTAACGATAATCTTAAACTTTTATATGAGAATTGAAGTCGGTTTGGTTTTTTGCTTAAAAATTACTTGTTTGCATAAGCTTTTAAATTCCCATACATACTTACACATCTGTCCATCTTTTATAAGTTTCAACTATTTGCTAACCAATTTTAAATAATGAAAAACCACCATAATTTTGTGCACAATTGTGTAATCATAACATTCATAATTTATTCAGAAATTATAATCTCTTTTAATGGATTCTACTTGTGTGTGTGTGTGAGTGTGTATTTTTAATTGTATTTACTTAGCCATCGATGGTGTCTCAACGATTGACCCACCTTATAGCGACATGCACCGCTCTAATGTGTAATAAATATGTATGTGTGTAAGAATGTGTGTGTACGAATCAGTTTATATTTGTATGAAAGTAAATGCTTCGTACAGTATCTAATGTGTAGTGGGGCATCAATTGCACGGTGCTACAAAAAAAAAAGTCATGAAATGCATTCCAAACAAAAGCTAGTGCAGATTGTAGCTATGGTCGAGCACAACACAAAAATAGGTTCCGTATGGCTCTTGAATCCTCCATTTTTGTTTTATTTAAAAACAACCGTTATGTTCGTACTGGATGCACTTATCTATTAGCAGCTTGACTATTTTTCATCCAATTTTAAAAAACAATTTCAATAAGCCCCTATTTTTCTTCGACAATTTGTATACAATTTTATTTAGCGAGGTATAAATTTATTCGAAAATAAATGTTCTTTAAGGTAAATACTACATATTTCCCCACTATCATAGAAATTTTTTAAATTAGCGATGGGGAAAGTTAAAAAAATTAACAAAGATAGGGGCTTATTAAAGTTTAACCGATGAAAGCTTCCCACAAGCTAAATAAGTCTAACAATGTAGTATATGTTATACATGGTTTTAAAGGCCATAAGTCCTCTTTTCCAAATATGTTTGATTTTTTAAATCGGATGAAAAAGAGTTAAGCTGTTAATAAATAAGTTCATCCAGTACGAACATAACGGTTGTTTTTAAATAAAACAAAAATGGAGGATTCAAGAGCCATACGGAACCTTTTTTTGTGTTGGACCCGATCATAGCTACAACTTACAGTAGGTTTTGTTTCGGGTGTATTTCATGACTGTTTTTTTTTGTAGCACTGTGTTATGCACCTCGATATTTGTAAAGAAATTATTTTCATTCAAATAATTAGAATTAATTGGCAAAGCGTAGAATAAGGCTAAGAATACAAAATTTTCTTTAAATATTAATTTAAAATTACTCAGTGCTGCTTTTCAGCTAGACTTTTTTTTTTAACTACATATAAATTGGGAGGATACAAGAGTTAGATTATAAATGGTTCGCTTTTAATAAAAAATATTTCGAGCGATTTACAAACCGCTTGTTTTAAGCTCTCGTGCTTTGTTTTGCATTAAAAAAAATAATAATGAAAATGTCAAAATATGTATTTGTCAGCGATATTAATTTTTAGTCTCAAAGTATTTTTTTGAAATGTCAAAGTTCAGGATACTAAAATTCGTCAGCGTTTTCAGGAGAAAAGCTTAAAGCTCTCGATTTAAGTTACCGCCACCAAAGTGTTGGATCCATCTTAAGAGCTCAAGCGCTAACTAAACACATAATTATGCCCCTTGGCTTGAATTTCGTACTTCGAAGCCATGTTTGTAGAGCTTCCATGTATACATTTTATATGTGATTGTTGAACAAAGAGAGCTTTGATCTTGTGACCGTCTTGTAAAACAGTAGTGAACAGACAGGAATAAAAGCTAGAAATCTCCGGCTAAAACTCAACCTTCAATAATCGGAAAGTGAATTCATGTACTTAAATATTTCAAAGCTCTCACTATTATTTGTGTGAAAGCTCAAGTAGCTCAAATAGAATATTTATTGTTGAAGTGTTAAATTCATTTTCGGGCGGTTATCTTAAGTACCTAGCTTGCATCTGCTCTTCAAACACTTTTTTTAAGAACAAAATTTGTGATTAAGGGGCGGATAAATTTTTAAGCTGCTTGAGAGAACGACCCTTAAAAGTTCTAATTCGCCTTTTTTTCTTTTTCATAAAGTGCTCATTTCGATGTGAAAGCTTAAACCTCTAAACTTGAATTTGTATGTTGATTAAACTTTATATTCATTCTAAAAGCAAGTTTAAAGCTCCCTTAATTCATATCTATTTTAGCCTGCAAGCTCAAGTCAATCAACATCAACTTCGATTGATCAAGCATTGAATTTGTTTTTGCAATCCATTAAATGTTTTTTTTTTTGACGAAAGCTCAAAGTTAACATCTTAACTTTTACAGCCAAACCTAATACAAACATACGTCGTTGGTTTACGCACTCCCTTTTATTCGTTTAGTTGCGTCACCCGAAATTGGCTTACGTGCGGTTGCTTTGATTTCTCCGAGTGAAACGTCAAATCATAATCTCACGCAAAGCAAAAATTTTAAATTGAGTTAACTTTTTCGCACGCCGTTCAATTTCGGTTGGTCCCATACAAGTTTTATGCACGAGAATATTAGGCGTGCGCGAATACAGGATTCGTATTTGCACACGCATGTGCAGCACGTTCTTACATTTTACGCTCACACACGTGTGCAGGGCTTATAAAATATTAAAAACTTGCTCACAGCACATGCGTGTGCCGTTTGGTAAAAAGCACAGGCACATGTGTGTACTTTATATTTATTTACATATGTACATATATAAAGCACACGCGCATGCTTTGCGTAGAGATACTCATTCACTTCGAAATCTAACTCAAATCTTAAAATAATTTTTTTTTTAATATGTTTTCCACTAATGCTAGATTTCCACTAGGCATTAAATGGCAAAAATGACAAATGGCAAAGTCGGGCATTAAAAAATAGTGTTGTTATTAAATCAAAAAAAAAATAGTCATTAAGTTCATTTCCACTTGGCATTTTTTAAATGGCATACATTTTTTGTCATTTCATTGCCTAGTGGAAATCCGGCATAACATATGTATAAAAAACAAATGACTTTTTATTGAATTGTTTTATAAAAGATAACGTTCAATAAAAAATAACGTTCTATAAAAAATGTTTACTAAAATCGGCTCACGCACATGTACATGCGCTTAATAACAAATAGCACACACTTTGCTGTAAGCAGAGTTTGTTTTCCACTAATGCACACACGTGTGTATCAGCGATGAGTGCAAGGTTCCTGGAGTGTGCGTGAGCAGAGCATGTGTGTGCAAATACGAACCTTGATTTTAGGTTGGCCAAATTATTATTAGTTATTATAGTTCCATACGTTTGTGAAAGCTCCAAAAAGCTTACACAATTTTCTTGTCATTTTCAAACATATGTACATACATATGTATGTATGTATGTATGTATGTATAACTTTGCATCCCAACGAATTTCATGCATAGTATTTTGTAGAGTGAAAGCTTTTAGACCATTATACACTTGCGGCTTTTAATAAAAGTGCGAATTTGTGATTCTAAGCAATTTTCATTAAAAAAAATTTTTGTTTGCTAGTATTCATTCCAAAGTGATTCCGAATGAACTAAACTAATGTACAAATAATTAAATGATGTTTAATGCGCGCTACCTTATCGACTAGCAGTTAAACTACTAAACTAAATAGTTTTGCAATACATTTCAATAATTTATAAGCGCTAGTACATATATACATATATGTATGTAGGTATATATAAAATTGTATGTAAAAGTGCAAAAAGGAAATGTTATTAATTCATTGAAAAACCAAACAAAGTTAAAGAGACTAGCAGTGCTACTTAAAGCTGCATAGCTTTTACATGTACGATTCCACAGTGTCGTAAGCCTTTTGTTAGTTCCTTGCATTTAAATCTCTTAATTTCCATCCCCGCCCAATGCCAAACTGAGGCTACTGCCCGCCGCCGATACAGAACGATCAGCATTAGGCGGCGTTATTTTTTCCAGTTTAAGTATCAGTGCCGTTATCACACAAGCGCCCGCCTCCTTTGTGAACCAGGTCATATCCTTGAGTGACGCGCTTGACGTTGAGCCGCCACTGCCGATGCCCGCGCCACCGCTGCTACTACTACTCTGCCCGAGCGTTATGCCGCTGCTAGACTCGTGCGGGTGCAGCAAGTCTCCGGACGAACGCCGCTCTAGTAAGCTAAGCGCTGTTGCTGCCGCGCCAGACGAAGCAGTCGCCACCGCGGTAACATTCATTTTACTGCTGTTCGTCAGGCAGAGCGACTGTCGGCGCACATACACTTCGAAAGCGGTGCCGATGCGGTACGAATGTGAATTTGCATTGTATTTGTGTTGGGTATTCATTGAAATAATACCAGCAGCGTTCGGTGAGAAGTGCAGTTCAAGTCGCGTTCCAGGCTCGTCCTTCTGATTGCTGGTGCTAGTGTGCGATTCACAGCTCGACTCTAGCGGTAGCGGCTGACCATGGTCGAGGATGGCGCGTATTTTGTCAACGCGCGTCATATAGTACAGTGGCAGCCATTCGCCAGTATCGAGGGAGTGTTGTACAGCTGCTGAGTTAACAGTTTGCTGATTCAACTTGAAATATACCCAACCGTGCAACTTTTCCGAGCCAAAAGCATTGCAGTGCGAGCAGAAGCAAACAGGGTCGGTCAACGGTTGAAAGAATGATTGCGGTAATACGAGCGATGCGCGAAACTGTTGCACTAATTTTAAATATTCGCAATCCTTGCGTTCAATGGAGGGTATCGACTGTAGTGAATCGAATTGTGTGGACGATGAAGAGGACAGCAGACTAAAATGTTGCGATAGAGGTTGATTTAGTTGCTGATAACGTAAGCGTAACAAGTCATGTTGCTGTTGCAACAATAACAAATGCTCCAAGTCGTCATTATTCTCCAGATCGTCATCATCGACGTCATCGTCATCATCATCATCAACGTCGACATCGTCTTCCTCATCTGCGCGCTCCCCAACAGTATTTTCGAGTATATTAACATCTGCTTCGGTGGCATCCAAGGTTGCAGCTGAGGCCAATGCGCTGGCAGTTAAATTGCTATCAGTTTCTACCGCGCGCTCATTCGACGTCATATTATTCGGCAGTGTACCTCCAGTAGCTGCCGCGGTCGTCGCCGAATTGCTTGAATTAGCGTTTGCGGCATGTATACCAACACTGCTGACTAGCTGCTCTAGAGCATCCAAGTTATTAGATGACCGCTGATCGAGCAAATTTTCTTTTGAACTGCAGCCACGCAGCTCGGTTTGCAAAGACACTCCGCCGACAGCGCCTGCCTCCTCGAAGGCATCGTAGTCCTTGTTCGTGTCGTGGACGTATGAAGCGGTTGAATTAGCAGCTGCAGCGATGTTATTGTGCACGGCGGCATTTGTTGTGGCCGACGTCGAGGCGGCAACAGCATCACCTATGACTGAATTGGCGGAGGCGTTCATGGCGTTTTGAAAACGTTGCGTACTCTGACTCCGTTGAATATTCAGATTGGTATTGTGCTGCAATTGCAACGATTCGCGTAAACAGCTGGCGAGAGAAGGACAGAATTTTTATTATGAAGGTAATTTTATTTTCCATGTACGCACCATGATGTGTTGGCTGCACTTGATTCCACAGCGCGATTTTGCTCCAAAGTACGATTTTTAATTGAAATATTCAGCATCAAGTTTTCCGAAACACTTTCCATCACCGAGCGATTCCTGTTTAAATACATCAAAAGGAGAATTTAGCCATCAACATTTATTTTAGTTAATTTTCAGCCTTACATGGCCGCACTGCTGCTGCCCGCGGCTACACCGCCCACTGCTCCACCACTCGTCTGCATTGCCTGCTGTTGCTGTTGAGACAGCTGTTCCGTTTCCTTCTCATGCACCTCCAAATCGGCTTTCTCACACTGAGGCACGCCACCATCCTGCTCATGCAGGTTGTCATACTCCAAAGCCGCGGCCTCCTCAATAATCGGTGTACTATTGCGACCCACATCGTTGCTTGTAATCAGCGAAATTTTTTCACATTTGCCATAGAGATCAAAAACGGGATAAACATGGTTCGGCAATCCTGCTGCCAGATCCTCTAAGTTAACAGAACCTACCATGATCACTGCGAGAAGGTATAAAGTGAGAAAAAGAATATGAAAATAATACTTAGCAGGCTTCATTGCTGCTGCCATATCTCGCACTCACCTAGCATGCCTACATTCGAAAGCGTCATGGTGATCACAGTGCCCGGTTGTATTTGCTCCAGCGCTTCAGCATACTTTGATGCTATCTTCTGGCCATTTATATTGATATAATCATGTGTAGCTACCCAGCACGGTCGTTTGCAATGTAATATGGAGATCGGTAACTGTGAGACATTTGTAGGTTGCGGACATGCGGCAACAACACCAACACCGATAGTGCCCTTCCATTTCGGATTCACACCATCGACTTTGATCTGTGGTAAAATAAACCTTGTGTAGAAAACCTTTAACAAAGAAAGTAGAACTAAAATAGCTCTGCACTCACGCTAATACTCTCGCCCTTGCAGAGCGGCTTGCCCACAAACACCAGTCCCTGATTGTAGGACTGCGTACGCATTGCGGAGCGATGTTCGTCCAAGAGGCGCACATGTTTACCATGTAGCTCAGAAAATTCATATGTTTGCATTTCCGAATCGATTGACTCCAACATGGAGTCTTGTTTGTTTAGCGGGTCAACACCGAAATCGAGTGAGTCTTGTAAACGTAAGCTGCATGGACGTAACGGTGAAGTGGGGCCTTGTGAGGAAATTACTTGCACAGCCATTGTTGAACCCTGCAGTTCAACGACGACGTAGACATCCTTTAGAAGGGAAGGGAATTTTTTAAGTAAAGTATAGTACTTGATGCTCTATAAGCGCACATCAGTATTACTCCATCGATACTTACATTTGGTACATTCTGAAACTGTATATTCATGTCTTCCGAATTAAGCAATATGCGCAGCGTACGCGCCGGCGTAAGCTCCAATGCAATGCGATCACCTACACGCAACCACTCCAAAGAAGCCATTGAACGTTGCAGCAAGGTTGAATTGTGCCGCACTTCATTGCCGGACACATACCAAACATTGGCAGGAATACGTTTAATACTTAACGGTATATTTTTGCGTACATAATCATCGGAGAGATTTAAATCAGTAACGCCAATATTGAGGCAGCCTGCGATGTACAGGAGGAAGCTTTAAGAGAAATAATTGAGCGTCAAAAACTAACCAAACTAACCTGCAAATAGTGAATTGTGCGAGATTAGTTTGATTTCAAATGGGGCGCCAACGCTCAGTGGATGCTCGGAGAACACGACGCAGCGTGAGAGTGCCGCTGATGTGCCCGTAATGCGTGATGCAACCGTCCAACTTTGTGACAATGTTACATTGCCAGATATGCAGGTCCAACGATGTTTCATCTCTGACGTTGCTGGCTGTATAACCGAAGTTGCTTGACAACTTTGCGAATTCTCGCTCGTCGCATAAGGCGCACGTATATCTGGCTGCGCTTGGGTAAGCGTCACTTGCGCGCACTGTCCATACAAATCAATCACTGCCCACACATTTGGCATGCGACACTCGCAAGCAGGTCCCTGATCGACTCCATCTATGAAGAAGTGCACATAATCGCCATTACGCATCACACCAACTCGCGTACCCGCGCCCAAGCTATCCAAATCAATCAGCACATTCGAGCGTATGGTTTTACGATTGTGGAATATCATAGATCCACAGAGTATGATCATATCATTGGCGTCCAGATCGGTGGCGTTGGCGGCGAGTTGTATGTCTTCGGGACGTGTGCCAGTCACACCGATCTCTATGTTGCCCGACCAGTGCCGCACCATTGATTCGAGCACTACCTCGAACAGTTCGCGTTGACGAAGTGGCCGATTGCTAAATACTATGGCATCATTGAATTCGGCTAGCGAGTTTGGACGTGAGGCGGTGAGACCGCCGTTGGAGATACCAGCATTTTTGCCTGCCAACGAAAGCAATGCATACACCAAAACTAATGTTTGTATTCAGCAAATGCACTCACCATGTATGTTATGGAAGCGCAGCGGCGGCTCACTGTACAACGTAGTATTGGAGATGGTGGAATTTCCCGTATCGGGACTGCCGCATTCTGATGTGTCTATTATGCTAGCCTGCGCCGCCTGGCCGTACAGATCGATAACACCATAGACGCGCTCCGGCACATTTGTGGCCGCGGGGCCTTGATCAAAGCCATTTACCCAGAAATGTAGCGTGCCATCGTCCTTGCGCACGACGCCCACGCGATCGCCCACTTGCAGCCGGTCAAGGTTCTGCCCATACTGCTCGATCACCGTGATACCGTTGTGCATAACGCCATTTCCCGTCATCATCCAGGTGCCTGAGCTAAAAAAAAAAATAAAAGCTCGCTCAAAAAATTGCATCTAGAAGCACAAATTTCAGAGAAATACCTACCGCACGTTGGTCATAGTAAAAGGAAAATCAAGCTCCTCAGCGCTATGCGTTGTCACACCCATCTCTACAGAGCCCGCCCATTTAGTGACTACGCGCTCAAGTCGCACTTGGAACAATTCATTGGGACGTAAGGTGCGGCGAGTTAGCACGACGCCATTGTTAAAGTCATCGGACGCGCTGGAAATATTGAAAAATGTTAAGTTCTTTGCAAAAACATTTCGACCATTCAAACTTACTTCGGCCGCAACGCGGTGCGTCCACTATGCGTCACCGTGGCATGTGATCCGCAAAGCGGATGGAATGTTAGTCGATCGTCATTGCGCTGCGTGGCGGGCGCCGAAAGTGTTGAGTCACCCAAAACTGCCGTGGCAGCAGCCACAGCCGAATTAGCTTCACCCTCTGGACTCAACAAACTCAACACAGGTGTCGGTGTGGACGAGTTAGCTGTGATAAGAGCATTTGTAGCCGCAGCATTGTTGATAGCCGTTGCCCCAGTGGTAAGACCCGAAGACGCGGTAAGTATGAGATTATTACGACGCGTTACCAAATTTTGTTGCTCGCGCTCATCACGATCCACAATCGTCACCTTTATGGTCATGCCATACAGATCAATGACACCCCAAAGCGTTTGGGCGACGCGCGTTGCTGCTACGCCCTGATCTTGCCCATTGATGTAGTAATGGAGATTTCCATTGGACTTGCGCATCATACCCACGCGATCACCTGCGAAATACATATGTATGTCTTTACAAATACGCATTTAACAAAATTGGCAAGTGTACTAACCCTCGCGCAGCTCGTCTAAATTGAATTCGCCATATTGGCGTCGTGTCCCCTTGCCATTGGTAAGTATGCCACAACCCGACATCATTATAGTGCCGCTACGCATGTTAGTCATTGTGGCTGGGAAATGCAGCACTGACGGGTTATGTGTTGTCACACCCACCTCTATCGAGCCCGACCACTTGTCCACCAACTTGTCGATGCGTATCTCGAACAACTCATTATCCTTGAGTGGCCGGTGTGTCATCACAACGCCATTATTGAACTCATCCAAGGGACGCCGCCGTTCAGCGCAACGGCAATTCGGTGACAGCTTGACTAGTGAGCCACAGCGTGTATGGAAGCGCAATCGATCCATATCGTAGAAGTCGCCAACACTTTGCAGCGTACCGGCGCTATTTGCAATCACAGCAGCGGCAGAAGAGGATAGTGGTAGTGCGGAATGCAGGCCAGTTTGTGAGATCGCGGAAATAGCTGCAGCGCCTGCACTGCCCAAACTGGCCAAAGCGGCGTTTATGTCAGCGTTTGTGCTGATTGTTGAAATAAGGCCACCGGCGCTATTGGCGGTGGTGCACGAGTTGTATGTTGGTGAGGCCGAAGAAACCACCGTCACATCGACGCACATAGGTACGTCAATATTTTGCACAATTTGCTGACCCTGCTGCGTACAAGATTCGACGTAGTCCTATGATAAATATTGGATTTATATTATAGTTTATATTATAATTTTTAAATTGAGTATTTAATCACTTACCCCCGCACCGCCAACATCGGTGGGGCAGATCGATACCTGCACACAACGCCCATACAAATCAACTAACGCCCACAAAGTTTTGGGCATGTTACGCGCAGCTACGCCTTGGGGCTCACCGTTTACGTAGAATACTAACTCATTGTGGGAGGTGCGCATCACGCCTACGCGATCGCGTTCGCCCAAAGTCTCCAAGTCAACTCCATAGAATTCGATCAGACAAACGCCATCTTTGCGTACATCGATTCCAGACATAACCCAAGTGCCATTGCGCATAGCTGTAGCGCAAGAAGGTAATTCCAACTTTTCTGGCGACTCAGCCGTCACACCGATTTCAATGCTTCCGCCCCACGAGTGATTCTGCAACAATAAAGAAGTTAAGGATCAGGCTTAAGTAGTGTACATACATATGGTAGTTGGGACACCAATACCTTTTTTTCGATCACCACTTCAAAGAGCACATCGTCTATTAGTGGTTCCGCGCTAAATACAAGCGCGTGACTGAAATCTCGCACCGAACGCGCCGCTGTGCGATTGCCATTGGAAAGTGTAATGCGGCGACCACAACGTTGATGGAATGTTTGTAGGGCTTGCAAATTTACGGCATTGGCACCTGCAGAACCGCATGCCCCTGCAACGCCACTGCCAGAACGACTAATGCTACCTCCACCGCCTGTAGCCATCTACTGCAGAATAGATCACTTGCCTCACAGAAAACTATACTCACTTTTGCAAATTTCTAATTGGGTTTCCAAAACAGAAAAGTGTATAATTCAAAATTTTTGTGGTATTCGGTGTTCTGCACCAATCGATTGCAAATCCACTAATAACTTTTTGACCCCGCCCGTTTCACACAACACCAGCAAAACAAGGCAGCTGGGTGCTAATTTCAGAAAAACAACGTAAATTATTGTAATTTTCGTTTTTATTATAATTGAAAATGTAACTTTTTTGTTTTCCCTAAATTTTCACAAGTGAAAAATTTGTCTACTTTTCCTTATCTTCTATTATTACAGGGGAACGGGGAACGGGGAACGCTTAAAAATCAAAATATTTACGAATGATGAGCAGTGTAAAAAA